CGTTGCACTCGCGTCTCGCACAAAAGAGCCGCATGTTTAGAAAGCCATGTAAAAATAATGCAATTTTAACTTTGAAAAAAAACATATCTCGAGACTTTATGGCTGTTTTCTCCACATCATCCCACTGCATCTCATGTTTTTAAATGATAAATATACTGTGTGATTGGCTTTCAGCCCTTTGTATTAAACTATGCATACATACATGATGCGGTTTTTGTTTATAGTCGTTTAAGCAACTTAATAATAATTGGTTTATAAACATTATTTTAAACATTATGCACTTTTTTTTTGCAGATAGTCATGTTATCTTAAGCTTTGAATGATGCGCCCTCTTGTGTCCTCAGGAGAGAAGCCAAAAGCTATTCTTCACCCTAACTGAAATTATGCGTTTTAAATACGAATATAATTCGAATTTTGATAATATTTAAGTACAAAATTCGAATTTAGTTTTTCAGCCATTTTGACAGCCCTATAGCCTATATGACAGATTTGTTCTGCACATGTTGCACTTAATAGTACCTTCCTTTTTAAAGTGATTCAAGCACTTCAAAACCATTATGGGCATACGCTTTTTAAGTGTCTCAGCAGGGGTGGGGTAATCCACGAGAGTATCGCCGTTCTCCATGAGAATACCTTGGGTGATGTATCGCGGTTTTTCGGTTGGGTTTGAATACCGTTACACCTCTAATATATGTGTGTGTGTGCATTTTTTATTTATTTTTTTGTTATCGACCATATGGTGCTATCAAAACATTTCTCTGTTTCTTTGAGCATATCAACCAAATGGACGCAACAAAGCTCAACCAATGGTGTGAGTCTGTGATGAGACTATCAGTCTAACTAACCAATAGGAGACAGAGGAGTGTTCGAGATTTATTATCGAGATGTTTGAAATAAATATTTTTGCATTTCTGTTTGGTGATGCTAATGAAAAAAAAATAACTTTGAGAGGATAGGAACACATTCTAGTTTTAAATGGGATTTCAATTACATTGATGAGTTTCTTATGTATTATTCAACACTTTCTCATTCTAGGCAAGGCCTAATTTCCATATTACTCTCAGAAAAGCACGGTGAAATTTGGTTGAAGACTACTTCTTAAAAGGGCCTCTTCAGCAGTTTTGTTTGGTGTAATTTCAGTTCCGGCTGTCTTGAGTTATTTAGCCATTTCTCTTTGTCTGATAATATTAAGCTTAGTTCTATGTCTCAACAATGTTATCCTAGTCTTGAGACCTTTCCAGCAGCAATATGAACCTTCTCTCTGGTTTAATGTGCTTCAAAAACCCCCAGGTCTCTGGAGGAATATCTTCAGCACAATATGTTCAGCCTTGTGCTGCTGCTGCTGTGATATACAGGTAGTTCCTCCTAGGGACCCATAATACTGGTCATCATTTTCCTTTAACATCATAGTCTTGTGACATTACTGACTTCTTCACACCAACATAAACCACACTATCGGCATTATGCCTTGTTATATATCAAGTTATGGAACTGCATTCGTTTGATAGCTTAGGTCTGAAAGACGATTTTGCTGTTATCAGCACTCTAAATTGATGTAAGACGTGAAACCTAGCATATAGAAAAGAGGGTGAACCTTTATACATATATACTGTATATATATATATATATATATATATATAAACAGTTGAGCCACAGGGCAAAGATAGCACAGTTTGTCTGTATGAATGTTAGTGTATGCGTTAGTATGTTTAGCTGGGGGAAAGCTATCAGTAATATTTTCTCCATTTGCTGTTTGACAGTAAATTAGCTACTCCAACGCTAGCACGCACCGCAAAACAAGAAAACTTTCCACATTAGTGTTAGCAAGATAACCATACTAACACAAGCACATATACTAACAATCATACAGACAAGCTATGCTATCTTTGCTCTGTTAAACACTGTAGTAAAATGAATGGGTGGGGTGAGCAGTAGCTCATTAGCATTTAAAGAGACATGCACCAAAACAGAGCTGGTTTTGGCAAGGTAAAAAGGGTGATTTTTTCACAACCGCTGAGGACTTTTAACCAAAAAATGTTACAGACATTTCAGAAATACCCTAAAGAACAATTTGTGTGAAATGGGCATCCGATGTCACCTTTAAACCTTTATCAGCCAATTCCGATAACGTTCCAATAATATCGTACATCCTTACGTTTTATGCTCCCTGTGTTTATTCAGGTCTTAAGTGCTTTGTGTCCTAACACTTGTCAAGGTTGCTCATACAAGATGTAGTTAATGTAGTTCAGTGTCATGAATCAAGATGTTGTTTCTTGATATTGATATTTAATAACGATCACTAAACCGATCAAAAAGAGGACACTACAGCCTATTTCAATTATAGGCATATTAAATACAGGTTAAATACTTTGTTCCCACTATTAAATACATGTTAGGCAATTTTCAACTTTTTGGATTATTATTATTATTTTAAATAAATGCCTCCCCTAGTAAAAAAAAAAATCCATAATTTATTTAAAATACATTTATTTCATACTAATTATACTTTAAATCCATTAACATTTGGCATATCACTTAAGACTTACTGATATAAAATTATAATTTAACTTTATTTGGAGTATTTCTTTATTGCACAATGCACATTTCTTAATAGTATGCCTAAAATGTGTTTTAAAATCACTATTAATAAGGACTGCATGATCTTTGTATAATATCAGTCTTTAAATGCAAGATACTTAAAGTGTACCTGAAGTATACTTGCAATAGTTCCACTTTAGCACAATCAAATATACTTAAGTATATCTTTAGTTGGATCTCGGCACTACTTCCGCAAAATTAAAGTGGATTAAGCACAAAATTATTTGTTCCAGTTTAGCAGACTTTAAATATACCAGTTTAGTATACCAAAAGAACAATTGCAGGGTATTTTTATTAAGCACTTAAATATGGCATTTTGTGGGAAAAGTTACTTTAAATAGCCGTTGCCAACAAGGCATTCTTTCTTTCTTTCTTTCTTTTTAACAGATCAAGACAATATATATAACAATAAAAAACACCACTTGTGTCACATCCTTGGCCCCTTAGTCATGTTTCAGTCAAAATGCATTTGTAGAATACAAGTTCACAGAATTGAGAATATGAATATAGTTTTGCAAGGCTGCAGTCGAGCTACCCAGCAAGAACTAAGGCACAGACAGCTCTCAGATGCAACTTTTAATGTTTGTCTGAGACGCAAACGCCTGGGAATCCAAAGTGCCCAGTCAGGAGACTTAATTCAAGGGTAGCCCGACAAGCTGACAGAAAAACAAAATCTTCCCTCTCTGATATGTGTTACATAATACATCACACAGACACGCAGAATCCTCCTGGCACAGTTTAAAACTTTGAATACTGTTGTGCTCACTGTCAAATGAAGGATTTATGATTTTGCAGTTTGCATGCTTCTCCTAAAAGCACTAACAATCAATGCATGCAGCCTTTTAATAAAGTATTGAAGAAAACTTAAGGATTTAACTAAGCTGTAACTGAAAATAGACAACTTTTTAAGACCAAATAAGAAACAGAAAAATGTAGATGTATGTCAAATTTGAGAAAGAACCCTAAACCATGACCTAGATAGCTTTCAAAGGATTTTCGGGATGTGCTCGAAGCTGAATACCTTAATCTGAAAGGCATGGATAATGACTTCTAAACAAATAACGAATTTTAATGAATAATATAAAAAAAATATGCAGTATATGAAGTCCCTCCTTGAGCTTGCTGGAAAGCAGGTGAGCCAAGTGACAGCACGATATTTTAGAAATAGTGAATAGAGAATGTGTAAAGTCAATCAGTGTGAACTGAAAATTAGCAAAAAGCCCCACTGCGGTTTCTGAAGTGTGTGAATTTGTCATGGCAACCAGATACATTTCACACTAATTTCCTACAAGGGTTGAGCTGAAATGTTGGCTAGAAGCACATAGATATGTAAGTGAAGCCTCATTCACTGATGTGTACATATTAGGACATTCTCAGTGTTAATTCACGCACTTGTACAGTACAGCAGCTGCCATCGAATCTGTTTAAACTGGCAGATCACTCGACCACTGAACGAGTCTGGAGCAAACGTGTTTTGTGTAACATGCATGCATTAAATTACGAGGAATGAGAGATTGGTGCTTTGTCTGTGTATTGCAAATGGGTTCAAGCTATTTTTCTCAATGGCTTTCAAAAAGTGGTGGAGAAAAGTCTATCCCACACACAAATTACGTTTGCAGATATTCTATAATAAAAAAATAACAAATGTATGGATTATTAAATAATTGCTACAGATACAGATCCAAATACAAATACTGACTTTGCTTCACACCCTTAATAATTATGCTTGAGATTCCAGTTTGTCCTTTGGGTCACACTTTAGTTTAGGGACCAATTCTCACTATTAACTTTACTAGTTAATATGGTGAGTTTAGAGGGTGAACTAGTTGTTAAGTTTAGGTATGGTGTGGATTAAGGGATCTAGAATATGGTCATGCATTATTATGTGCTTTATAAGTACTAATAAACAGCCAATATGCTACTAATACAAGCAGCTAGTTAATAGTAAGAATTGGTCCTTAAACGAAAGTGTTACCATGCTTTGCATAATTACAGATATACTATGTTTTGACCAAATTCTAAGGCAGCATCACAGGCATACTTTGCTGAGTAGGCAATAATAATGGATGAGCTTAGAGAAACGCAGGGCATTTTTATGCATATTTACATATATTTTTATGCTTTGCAACATGCTAACATCAAAGTCTCTGGCATCAGTCGTGGGTTGAGTCTATTGTGTGTCTCATGATCAACCCTGTTTGTGTGGTGCAAGCAGTCGCTGCCTAGGTATATTATTCCAAATCAACCATTTATGAGATCGTATTTCAGTTAGGATGCTGCTTTGGAAAGCAGATACCTAGACAATACAACAGCTCGCTCGATTTGAAGATGTTGGAGACTGCTGCAGAGTGATGCTAACAGCGCATTGATCGCTTAACTTAAAGATCAATTAGGACACTCACCAAACACAGTTCTGGCTGGGACAGATTCCCTGTTTAGCCAGAAAGACACCTGGGACAGGATCACGGTCATGATACACGGCAAATATGTCTGGATGACAAAGTAACCGATCTTCCTCTTGAGGTGGAATTGTGTTTTCATCACAACATACTCTCCTGGAAGTGAAAGAGAAAGAGATCTTTGAAGGAAGCCATATATACATTAATTAATGAGTATTATGAAAATTCATTCAATTAATCATGCAACCTAACCCGCACGTACGACAACAGCAGCACAGAATGAGAAAGTCTACTTCAGACAGACAGACTTGACTTCTCAAGCTACTTTGTGTCTTCTACAACAATATCTCCATTTAGGGACTTTTCTCAGCAAATACTGATATGCAAGATTAATTATAATGAATCTGAATGGATATCATGTAGTTATTTCATTCACTATTTCTTTACCCTAATGCATATAATAATGCTTATGCAGTATGCGTTTATTATTATGCCAAATCATTATTCCTTAATCACTGCACTGCATATTTTTTGTTTTCTCATGGATTGTCCATATCCACGTGTACAGAAAACATAATGGTGTTTATGCACTTTATGTCTGATGCTGCTATTTTGCACCTGATTTTCCCACATGGGAACAAATAACCATATAGAGCTCATATGTTGCAGCGTATGTGTTTTCATCTGGAAGATGTGATATTTAGGGCATTTGCTCATGTGCAAAACACTATAAAATCATTCCTAGTTGATATTAGAACTATTCAGGAGATGTTCATGATTTTAGAGTTGGTCTGAAGCTTGCGTCCGCAGCATGGCAAGAAACCTAGAGGACGCAGTGTCTCGTTCCCTACTCAGGGAACCATGGTTACATAAGTAACCTGAGACGTTCCCTTTCATGGGAACTTCGAACTGCGTCCTCTAGGGGTCGCTATGGGGGAACGCCCCATAGCAACCCCTAGAGGATGCAGTTCGAAGTTCCCATGAAAGGGAACGTCTCGGGTTACTTATGTAACCATGGTTCCCTGAGTAGGGAACGAGACACTGCGTCCTCTAGGTTTCTTGCCATGCTGCGGACGCAAGCTTCAGACGAAGAAGTGAATGATGTGTAGCTCCCGGCGCCGATTTATACTGTAGTCGCACCGGTAGTGACGTCATGGCTGTCGCCGGCCAACGAGTTGGTGTTTTTTCAATGTATGCTTCAGACACGGGTCACGACGAGGCGTTCCCCATAGCGACCCCTAGAGGACGCAGTGTCTCGTTCCCTACTCAGGGAACCATGGTTACATAAGTAACCTGAGACGTTTATCAGATGGTTTATATGCAAATATGGTGCTTTAAATAGAACATGCTCTTTCCAGATGATGCTCTTTTTCACATTTCTGTATTGTGCTTACTGAGACGCAAAGTAGAATTCGTGTTGTAGTCTAAATTAGCTTTCGGCAAACTGGCATTTTTTCTTTAATAATAAAATCTTTCATCACAAATTATATTAACATACTAACAAATCTGAGAGAATGGTACACTAACACAATGCATTTCCTGCCCCAGTGAAGAGCAAACCGTCAGTCGGTCAAAATATTGTAACAAGGTATTCATCGTCTGACAACTAAATCCACCAAATCATATGTGACCCTGCAGCACAAAAGCAGTGTTAAGTCGCTGGGGGATATCTGTAGCAATAGCCAACAATACATTGTATGGGTCACAATTATACATTTCTCTTTTATGCCAAAAATCATTAGGATATTAAGTAAAGATCATGTTCCATGAAGATATTTAGTAAATTTCCTACTGTAAATATATTAAAACTTAATTTTTGATTAGTACTATGCACTGCTAAGAACTTCATTTGAACAACTTTAAAGATGATTTTCTCAATATTTAGATTTTTTTGCACCCTCAGATTCCAGATTTTCAGCTTTCAGATGATGTATAAATCTCAATTTTGAAAAATGTATCCTTATGACTGGTTTTGTGCTCCAGGGTCACATATTATTGAAAAAGGAGGTAGTCCAATGAACCCACTTTGGACCCTTTTGTTAGCTGTATCAATTGGCCAATAAAAGAGGGAGCAGAATAATCATTTGCATATCCACAAGGGAAATTATAAAATCCGGAGCAAGCTACTTTGGCTAAACTTGCTAAAACATAACTTATAGGCTTCGTTTCTAAACATCACAGGGTCAAAACACACACCAGTGCTGGACTGCACCACACCCGAGTCGACCGTCTGTCCCATCAAGTCATACTGGTTGAGACGGGAGCCATCGTCAGCCACGACCACAGACTGCGCCGCCCCTCGCGTCCAAACATACACCACTTCAGCCCTCGTGTAGGCATCTGATGCAAACAAACAAAACACAAAATCAACTGTCTGAAGTCAAAAAGTCACTTGTCAGCTGTCAGAGCTTGCTGGGGTCATATACTGCAGTGGATTCTCAAGCGCAGCGGAGACGCAGCAGACGCTGAAATATTTAGAGTCTCGTTGCTTTGAGTCACAAGCTTGTTTTTTATTCATGTGTCTCCCCCCCCCCTCTCATTCTTCCTCCAGCGCAGACGCATCTGTTCTTTCTTTTCAAGGATTAGTTGGTAGCTAAATCCATTCGGCTAGTTGTGTGGACTCGGTGAATGACGTGTTTTGTCAGAGATGATGAAGAGAAAGTCCCCATCTGAGACTCTGAGTAGCATCTGAACTTTCCACGGAAGCAGTACTTACAGCTGCCGAATTTGAGAGGGCAAGCATGGGCGTCCATTGGGAAGTCCTCCAAGTGCATGGGACATTCAGCTCTGACTGTAAGCCTGAGACAGAGAGAGAGACAGCACGATACAACATTATAATCTTGACAGTTATAGAAATACATTTGGACAGTATGATGATGCATATAAGTATGCATTATTTGTATAGAATTGTTATTAAGCGGTGTAAAGCAATGCATTAAAATGGAATTCAACTGAAGTGCAGTCGCTGCTCACCCATTCTGAATTTAAAGATGTAACCATACATTTTACCATTTGTGTTTATTATTGTATTTAATTCACTAGATTATCCAGATATAGGCATTAAAATGACGGGTGTGCAGTCCATATACAGTAAGTTGCGAATGCTCTGCATACTGAAGCCTAGAGACCGGCTAAATATCAACATTCCCTTGTCATTTGAGGTGTAACATAAGGATTGCATAATAAAATGTTAATGTAACTCTCTGTAAATTATTTATTTGCCAAACAAAGGTAATTTTCTGCATATCTGTGCCAGTTCCCGGGTGAGCGGATCCACGTCAGCTTTGGCGTCTGCGCTCTCTTGCTATGAATCGTCATTATTGATCTGCATTCTCATTGGTTTGTTGGCATGTTGGTGATTTCACGTGTAATCAGAAAATCAGTCCACAAATTGCTCGCCCAAGCACAAAAATGTGAGGATCTGTAGCTGTATATTGTCATGTTTCCTCAAGCAAAAATTTCGAAAGTTCACTCAAAAAAATCTTTATACAAGTATGGCATCATATTACTATTTATTACTAATTAAAGTGACTGCCACTTAATGGCTATTCAAGACGTCAACACATGCCGCCTGTCCTCTCTGATAAATTAATGCATAAATTAACCAGTACACTCAGTTAAAGAAGTCACCACTCGCCACTGATATATATAGTATACAGTGATCAAATATTTTGGTTAGGGCCACCCCTAGCATTTTGGGGCCCTAAGCAGTTTTTCAAAAGTGTTTTCAAGTTATAAATATGAAAATATATTTACTTATTAAACAAACTTAAAAAAATGTAAAAGTTGAACCATTGCTTTCAGAGAAATGTATCAAAATTTAGTCAGATTCATGCTTTAATAAAGCAAAAACACCTGCCAATGAGTTATAAAATTACAATAGTGAATATATTATTATTATTATTAATAGAAAATAATCTCTTTTCTGAGCTGGCATATTTTAGTCCAGATTAAAATGCAAAAATGTATAAGTGCATTTGAAATGTTTTAAAAGGATTTAAGTATTTGGTGTCGTTTGATAAACACCAAAGCGAATACAATACTTAACATCTGTTTGAAAACATTTAAATACTGTTGTGACCTCCTTTCTTCTCCATCACAAGCAGGTGTCAGAAAGTATTTCCGCAGTATTTCTGCTGTTCCATAAGCGCCACCTACTGTCCGAGAGTGAACCTGCATTTTTATTCACCCCTGCTGATTTTGTTCAGACCGAATTTTCATGCAGTGTTGTAAATGAAAATTAAGCTATTATGCGTTCTAAAAATCCAAACAATTCAGATAATAAGGTATCCAGAAATATTAACCTATTTTGAAGTGCCCACGATAACAGTGCACCGTTGTTTCATTGACACAGCATCTTCAAAGCGCTAAGCAATAAGACACGATACAGCAAACAAAATTCATCACTTACTCTTCATTTTTAAACATTAACGCACAAGACTGACACAAGCAAAGCTATTATTATTACCATGTATTACTGTCTGAACCCCTGGGCCACAGGGGCCCTATGCAACCGCTTATATCGCTTATTAGGTAGGGCCTATTTCAGACAGGAATTACTACAGCTCAGTTCTCCACACATTTACAGTACAGAGTCGCACACATACACAATCTCACTCCAGCTTGACAGTGTGATAAATCAGTAAATGTCATCCCCTACGGTACGTTCCTCCCATTTTTCATTTTGTTGACTCAAATATGAACTTCCATCTTCACCCTAATCTACGAATTAAGCAGAATAAAGGACGCTTTATAACATGTGCTGTCCTGACCTGTGCATTAGTCATGGTATTTATGACACAATATGCAAAACATACATTTATAGACTCACACTAATACTCTTATAAATATATATTTGAATATATTTCTGTACGGAGAGAGATGGAGACCCAGATCACTTTAGATCAAACACCATCATTAAAAGGAAATGACATGAAAAGGTGATCAGATGCACCATCTGTTCTTTCCAAGCAGAGGAAAATAAGCAGCAGCTTCACCTCATGGTGTAAAGCAGAGTTCCTTCCTCTGTGATCCGCAGAAGTTTGTTAGGCATGGTCATGTTATGGGCGACTGACTTCTTTCCGTTGTGGAAAAATGTGTCGGGGGTCCAGATTTTGCTGGCCATGAGATTGTTGAGACGGAGCACAGCCATGGGACCTTTGAACTTCAGCCTCTCGTCCTTCCAGCTCTGCCTGAAGAACACATCGATGGTGTACTCCTGCAAGACCACCGATAACACATCGTTTTCTCATCCCATGCAGAAATAGTTAGTGAAACATGTTCATAGTTCATGTGATGAACTACCCGTGATTCCTGATGTCTGTGTGAACTTGAGGGGAAGGAACATTAACATGGAGCAAGATTAAGATAGCTTTGCATTTTCAAATTTAGTTTGTTTCACTAAAAATGTGTTAGATACACGTAACATGTTCCATGTCCTTTGCTCGTTGTCAGACGGCCAAATGCATGGCTTGGGTATGTTTGGATTATTTAATTAGCATTTCATTAATTGTCTGGAATGCTCTTTTATAGTGTTGTCATACAATTTATGTGTGTGTTATTATTTCATTAACTCAAAATTGCATCTGATGTGCTTTATGTATGTTAATTGTTTTTCCAGCATGCTTGCATTTTGGCAATTTAGGGTTGTGTGTTGTCGCTTTGTGTGCTTCCATGGCTAATTGTGGAAATGCTCTTTGTTGTTATTGAGTTATTGTGCTGATGTTTTGCTGTTTCTTGTTGTTATTTCTTTTGTTATTTAAAGTTTTTTTTAAACAACTTGCCAAAGGACTGTGGTTGAAAATTAGGAGCTCGGTCTCATGAAAATGCGTATAAATGGTACGCCAAATAAAAACGAAAACTCGTGGTATTGATACGCAAAAATGGACTTTGGCGTGCATATTATACGCATGTGTTTAGCGTGCATATAATACACAACTTTCTTGTGCATATGATACGAAATTTGTTGGCGTGCATATGATACGCAGTTTTCGCGTACATATGATACGCATCTACCCCACAACCCTAAACCAACCCATCGTGTAGCATATAGACGCCAAAGTCCATTTTTGCATTTCAATACCACAAGTTTTCGTTTTTATTTGGTGATCTATTTAGACGCACTTTCATGAGATCGGGTTGAAATTAGCCAGCTGGCTAACACTGGCACATTTACAGAAATGTTGATTAATGTGTGTTGTCATTTTAAATAAAGAAAAGAAAAAAAATACAGTATATATATATATATATATATGTATGACAAGTTGTATATATACATATATGTGAGCCTGGAGCACAAAAGCAGTGTTAAGTCGCTGGGGTATATTTGTAACAATAGCCAAAAATACATTGTATGGGTCAAAATTATTGATTTATATATAAAGTTACACTCTTGTCATACAATTACAGTTCATAGTGACCAGGTGCTGTCAAGCTCCAAATATGACAAAACCAGCCCTTTTTCATTTATCCTCAAATGCTTTGAGGATTCTAATTGAGACTTGTAGTTATAGAGTGGCTTTTGTGAAGTAATTTCAGTAAAAGCGCAGTCATCAAGAGGAGCCATGAGCTTTCTGAAGCATTGGTGGCCATAATTAGCGGCATGAATCATTCTAACAACTACTGATCGTCATAGCTGCGAGCTTTTTTTCATTTTCGCAAGATCATCCATCATGACACAGATACAGCCGGATGTTCTAGGTAGAGTCACATAACTGGGTGAATGAAATGTAAAGCAGAAAAAAAATCCAACATATCTGCAGCATTTTACTCTTTTTATGAAATTAGCAGACTTGATTTACAGGCATGCATGGATAACATGTAGAGTTGCTTCATAAAGGAACTTATGTTTGGCAGGAGAAATCTGATTCGATCAGTATCTGATATTCTGCAGGATATGCCATTATGTTATGAAAAAAATATAAAATTTCCTAATCAAGTCTATACAGTAGCTCCGATAGATCACTAAAGATATACTGAGTGTCATTCAGTATATCTTTACAATATAATATATATTCAGTATATAATATTACAATACAATATCTGAATGTCATTTCACTAGATGACAACACTAAGTGGCATCTGCAAACAGATAATTCTAGAGCTCTACTCAGAACTGACTTTACTTTTTTCTGCCATTTTTACAATGTCAAAGTAAATTTTTAGTAGATGCACCTTCCCTTCAATTCACACAGGCATCGGGCAGTTCATCACGTGAACTATGAACATGTTTCACTAATGCTTGAGCAAACAAGTGTCATATTATGGTTTTCTCATTTATGATTTAAAATATTTTGTGAAATGTTCTGCTTGACAAGCGTCTAGTGCTTAAATCTAAATAAATAAATAAATAAATAAATATCACTTGGTTTGATATTTTATGTATTCCAAGACATTAATCTATTTTATTTATTTATTTTTTACATGTGATTGAAGTGTCCCAACCAATTTTTTTTTTTTTTATTATGTAAAGAAGTAATAAGAAATATGGGTTATGGTGTTATAATCAATTCGTCATTTCCAAGTTTACTTCCACTATTATTGAATACCGGATCTGGTTTTCACATTTACAGCTTATTTGTGTCCCTGCAGCACAAAAGCAGTGTTGAGTCGCTGGGGGATATTTGTAGCAATAGCCAACAATACATTGTATGGGTCACAATTATACATTTCTCTTTTATGCCAAAAATCATTAGGATATTAAGTAAAGATCATGTTCCATGAAGATATTTTGTAAATTTCCTACCGTAAATATATCTAAACTTAATGTTTGATTAGTAATATGCATTGCTAAGAACTTCATTTGGACAACTTTAAAGATGATTTTCTCAATATTTAGATTTTTTTGCACCCTCAGATTCCAGATTTTCAAATAGTTGTATCTCAGCCAAATATTGTCCTATCATAACAAACCATACATCAATGGAAAGCTTAAAAATGGACCCTTATGACTGGTTTTGTGCTCCACATTTACAGATTAAATCATCACATTTCAAGCTTTTCAGTGTGGTAAAAACATTTAAGCATGTACATGACTCTTCTGAACACTGGCTACACAGAAAACCTGTGACATTTATAGAAAGTAAAAAAGTTTTACCATGTCATGGTCCGAGACTGGCCCAATACTCGTCACGAAAATGTCAGTCTTGACTTCGGTTACACGCTCTGTTGAAGCAAGAAATTAGGAGTTTGAGTGTCAATCAGTGTTGGCCATTAGTTTTAACAACGCTTTAATCCAGAGGTTCAACCTGCCTGACTTTGATCGAATCGAGGTTCAGCAAACTCTCCACACTCCACTTACATGAGTTCTTCTTTTCACAAAGCATAAACATTTCTAATCACATCAAGCAAACCTTACAATAACCTATAAATACGTTGGAGTCTTTTATGAAGAAATGCACCTTACTTTCTTGCCTCCTTGAAAAACAGCATGTCTATGTGCCATGGAACGATTACTGATGTTGACAGAAGTTGTTAGTCAGCTTTACTTGCTATTTATGACATGCTGTCACTTTGTGGGCGCTAAGGTAATGCGTGTAAGGTCAAACAGACGCACTGAAAATTAAAAATTATATGACACATGTGTGAGGAGTTCCTTGCCAACTCAATGAATCATTCAGTTCCATTGAAAGCTAATTTATGTCAGGTGTTAAATGATCTGCATTTATGTGGAAAACAATGTTCACTTGATGTGCTTTTGCCTGGCGGGCTTGTTCAGAACAAAACTGCTCTCCACCATCGCCTTCATCACATTTTTGACGAGGCATGCTTTTGCATTTAATGTCTTTCAATGACTGCATTTTCAAAAGTTCTTTCAACATCTGATCTCTTGCTTTCATTACAATTTCTTTCTACTTTCATGATTGTTTCATAACACTAAATTACTGTAACATGTTTAGCAAATAATACTATTTTAGTTCTATTATGTAAGGTGTACATTTTCAAAACTGATCACACTTGTAACACAGCTTTTCATTACAGTTATGCATTTTATCAGTCCACATAATCATTGTTGAAAAACACTAGATTATTATATGTAATGAGAACATTTGGTTTAATCACCGAAACACAACAGTATGATCTTCTTTCCATTTAGTACCTTTGCAACAAGCTCATTCAACTCACCCTGTTTGTAAATTAAAGATGTTACATTGTAACATTAGGAAATACACTTGCATTACTTATGTTATGTAACTGACACAAAATCCATATGGTAATAGTATGTTTGTATGGTATGTTTGCAATAGTATAACACACACACACACACACACACACACACACACACACACACACTCTCTCTCACACACACACACACACACACACACACACACTCTCTCTCTCTCTCTCACTCACACACACACACACACACACACTCTCTCTCTCTCACTCACACACACACACACACACACACATTAAACATTGTGGTTATCATCTGCCATAAATCACTTATACTGTAACAAAAACTCCTTATATTTTGGTTTTCTGTTTCAAAAACTGCAAACCAGTTTTACAGAATCCATATCTAAAGAAATATATTGATATACTGTACCAAAAATCTGTTGGATTAAACGACCCAAATGTATTAAATTGAACGAGAAGAGATGCAAATGAAAAGTTATATAGCAACATAACAGTAATATAGCAGTAAGACATCAGTTTACATCAATAAAACACTTATTATGTGTAGTGAGAAAGATACTTTGTGATTTTGTCTATCATACTAACATAACTGAAAATATGTTGAAATGCTTGAAAAGGGCATTGCTGATGATGCAAGATTAGTACTGAGAGTTTTGAAATGTACATTTACTTGTGAAAATAGCAAAACTATTAGAAAATCATCATATAAAGGAAATATCTGCCACCTTTAAAGTCTCTTACAATGATGATTTAACTGTGAGGGAAAAATGCATTTGGCAAGTAAATGTAATGGTGCTAGTGTAATTCTGAGGTGTTGCAATACAAACAACTTATAAAACAACTTATTTATAAATAAAAGGTGAATGGAAACTGTTTCCTCTGCAGAACATTACCTTTACATCTAAGAAACATTTTTATTTCTTTTTATCATTATAACCACAGAAATCCATGTTGCAATATTACATAAAACTGCTAAATAAGTGATTTAGAAACCTACTTCGATTGGAACATGATTGGTTACTGATTTATTTTCCCGACGTGAAAAAGTGCTGTTACATCCGTTTGAAGATGCAAGTTTAGAAATCTCCCACAGGGCCGAAAACTGGGACACGAATGCATGAGGCGAGAAATCCTCAGAGAAACTTCTGCACCTACCTCCGAGTCCAGGCCTGAGACGGTTGTCGTAGCCATCGAGGAGGCTGTCCAGAATCCTGGTGAAAACTGTGGTGTTGTCTTTCTGCTCATCTGCGCTTTGACTGGAGCTGACAACGCAAAACGGCAGACGTTTTATTCAAAACCCAGAATCAACAGCAAAGGGTGGCTATAACACACTCTGATGTGAAAAATCAATGCAACACCCTCCTCGGGGTAACTCTGAAACATCCAGCCTGTTTAAAGCGAATGTGCAATGCAATAGCCTGCAGATAAACAACAAATCTCCTTCCGTCTTAGGAGCAAAGGGGGATATACACAGGAACAATGCATTATTAATTAGCTAAAATAATCTTTTAGATGCAAATGAGAAGCATGAGTTCTAGCAACACGAAGCCAAATCCTAAAAGACGCACCCATGGCTGCAAAGAGAATGAATTCTGTTGCTCATAAATATTTCAGACGAATGATTAGGAGCAAAACGCAGTTTAATCATATAGTGTAAAATGGTACTTTATGAATAAGAGCCTGTGAGGACGGTGGCCAATTTGTGCTCCTCTAAAAACAATCACCGGCTGACCGTTCATTCATAATTGCTTGCTTTTTTGTTCAAGTGCGTCTGCAGACTCAATAAACACTGTTTGGTGTTTGGCATGGAATCAGATTTGAAGGAGAGGATGAGGTCATCGCGATTAGTTAGCATGGACCACGGATGGAGGTGTTTTCAAATAGAGAAAAGCGAGAGGGAGAGACGTGACAGACCCCGAAAGAGAGAGACATCACGCGCACTGAAATGCAAGTTAGCCTTGTATCCCGTGTATTTCATATCTGGCATGTATTATTGCATATTATAAATCTTCCAGTAAAGCAACATGGACAACTATTGATTCAAAGCAGTTAAATAAAATTTAAGCACAATTGTCAGATGATATATGCTCGCCGTCGCTGAGAAGAACAGTGCATGCTTTTTGTGCTCATTTCATGCGGTCATTTCAATCAGTCTTAATGTCTCCCAGCAGAACATGCAATGGAAGTCTGAGACCACTTTGCTGGTTTTCACTGTGTTTTCAAAGAAAACTTATGACGTAAAGACGCTGTACTATTTCTAGGTCACTAATCAAATATAAGCAAATTTCGATACTGACCCTTTTATCTCCTTTCTACGAAGATCAGATTACCTTGCTTTAATTAAAACAAACATTTTCAAATCATACTGGTTTGTACAAACTTGCAGACTCGAGCCGTATGCTCTCAAATGTTTTTTTTTTTGCCATCAAATTCTGATTAGTTTTTATTTTTGTTCTATTATATAAATGCAAAACATAGGCACACACCTTTGGACCTCACTGGATTCAACAACAGTCAACGAGAATAAAAATAAAACGAGAAGACTTCCACCCTCCCCCATCTGCGCGCACAGACATACACGCACATGCACTCAGACCCCATGAGCGACACGGAAAAGGGGTCATGAGAGGAAAATGTAGTCTCATATATTACGCATGCATGCCAGCCTGACCCAAAATTACATCTCCACTGTTACCTCAGAGAAAAATGCACAAAAACATCAGAGCTCAGGGCATTTTTATTTAGTAATAATTAACTCAAATATATATTTTGGCAGATTTGGTGATAGTAGGTTGAAAGAGGAACCATACAGACATGAATAACACATTGCAAAATCCACGTGCTTATATGAGCAGCATACAGATCCCCATTAAACATTGTACAGCAACCCCATCTACAGGTCATCTGAACAGAACAGTGTGGATGCATGCTCTCACAGCACAGCTTACAAATGAGACCCTGTATGCTTATGGCATTTTTAAAGTATTGTTATAAAATATTTATGGGTATGTCAACATCGCTGTGACAGTCACCTGTCTAAACCTATAAAATATATCTAAAGCAAGCAAAATGTTGCATGGCATTTGTAATCACTTTACATTCTTTATTTTACAAGCATGATTTTTGCAAAATAATTTAATAATATGCATTATTAAACATGTTTTTTTTCCCTGAACATCTTTATATATTATAAGTATTGTAACTAATCAGTTAGAAGTAAATCAGCAGCATAATTCTCTGCTAACAGTACATATAAATCCAAGCTGCATTCATGAAAATATGAACTCATTAGTTAATATTACACTTTAAACATTAAATTAAAATGAAAACCTGAGACCTCTTTCAAGCCAAATCCTCCCAAATAAATACTTATGTTTGGTTAGAAATCTTTCCATTTGTCCTTACATTTAAAATAACACTTGGCCGTAGTTTTAGAAATATCTTACTGTATGTTTTTGTCTAAAGAAACTAATTCAGTGATGTTGCTCATGGATGATAGACATGCACAGTTTTTTTTATCTCCTTCTTCAAAATGTATGTCAGCAAACTTCACCTATAGATGAATAACACTCCATGAAGCATGCAGTATAACAGTGAAAGAAAGTTGCAGCAGAGTGAAAACCTTAATGAAAGCTTCATTAGCATGACATCCTCTTTGAAGTCTGAGGTTCTGATCTTGGTCTAAGTTAACATTGTAGGTCTAGATCAAAGAGCTACATTTAGATCAAAGCACTTACATATTAACTGAACATTACTGTAACTACAGCATAGAGAGTGCTCTTTATCAAAAGTAGAGAATGTGTTAATCATTCCAAGATGTGAGTGAAACATGCACCAACCTCAGGTGCGTAAACATACCTTTTTCCAGCCAGAACGCTGGTCACCAGTAAACAGGCCCAAATCCAAAGCCAAGCTGCTCCTCTTCCACCCCACATCATTCTCCAATGGATGAATCCCCACTAAAGAAGAGAAAATACAATCATTCAAAGAAACCCAGGGTTTCCATCTCTGTTCTAACTAAAGTGGAGCAATTGCAGGAAGAAGTGAGGTATGTGGTTGCCAAAACCCATACCGCGATTATAGGGAGTATATGCATTAATATACCTCCGTAATATAATTAGAAATATGTTTTTAGACAGACAGGGTCTGCTAGTGTCAGCTCACATGCAACTACTCCCAGTTACCAATCAATGTCTGTCTGTGGGATACCTTTAATTTTATATTTATTATGTGGTTTGTTGAGTCGCAATAGAGTGATGTGATACAACAATACAAATCCTAAGAAAGCACAGTACCCTATGGCAGTTTAAGAAGTGCTGAACAAAATGTTCATATTTCCCCCTTTTAACCTTTGAAATATAATTCAAAGCTTGAGCATATCTACTCTAGAGGAGCAATCATGAATACTGTGCATTAATGTGGTCCTGACCCCTTTATAGCTTACATATAGTGTAGATTAATACTAATGCAATTATATGCATGATCAGAATTAAGAGTAAACAAATATCACAGTTTTGCATGACACAATACGACAGTCATTACGTATGCCACACGACCCACTATGCAAATGCTCAATGTTTAATTGCACTTTCCCATTTTAGAATATGAATCTGTGCTCATATACATAACAGAGGTCTTTATATGTAGAAATACACAGACACAGGTATCGTGTGCTTTCATTCCGCCGGTTGGTATACGCATTAACGCAAATCATGCCACACACAATCGGCGAGTTAATCCTGCATCAACATCATACAGAATGATTAACAGCTCTATGTAAAAACCGTGATCACTCGCCGAGGCTTACACAATCCCTAACGTTCACACTTTTTGAGGTCTGTCGCGAGAGTGCATCATCAAAAGCACGTTTTAAGGTATCTCTGAATTAGTGTTGGGCGTGCGCCTCGGGGTTGCTCCTAAACGTGTAGTAATTCAATTGGAGTAATTAAGCAAACAGTGCGCATCATTTCAGACCATCGCCAAGTTCACAGCAATCATGCACACCACAAACATCATGCAGAGATAAAAGTACCCCATAATCCATTTTAGATTTCCAGGAATATGGGACTACCTTTATGCAGTTGCGATCCCTCAGCCCCCGGTTTGACAATATCCAAGACACAAGCATCAAGACTTACGTTAAATCGATTGCACCTTATCGTCAAACTTTTGCACACGTCTATTCTGTCTGGATGCGAGGAGATGATGCTCTGAGATGTGAGCTGTGCTGAATTTGAGCTCGAGGCTGCTGCTGCTGCTGATGATGATGATGCTGCTGCTGCTGCCGAGCGCGCGCAGCTCTCGCACACTCCTCATCGAAACTCTTCCCAGTTTACAGCAAATTAGTCATCTACCAACCCCAAATCCACAAGAATAAAGCTTCACTACAGCAGAACAATGGCGCTATGTCCCTGGAATGAGATCACTTGAGTACGTGGCGATTGTGATTCAGAATGGAAGGTGGTAGCTACCAATCTCACATCGAAAGACCAACCCGTCCCGTTTTTATGTGCAGCACAATTGCACTTGCGCTGCTGTCGACTTAATCTCTTTCAGTGGTTGGGAAATCAAATCCTCTTCCATTTTTTTTTACCCGGATCTCGCCTCTGTCGTGGTCTCTTGCATTGCGTTGGAACAATAATACACCTCGCATAGTCTCCATCACAGTTAACATGCTATTAATTATTACAGCAACGTTGTTGAGCGCTGCCACGTTAAAGGCATGCCAGGCACGCATTCAACAATATGCACGCCAATCCGCAGTGCATGCACATGCATATACACCGCAAATAAAGTGGAATGCATGCATCTCTCACCAAAAAAATCCCGATGGCTCGAATCTTTCCCAAAATCACCTTGAAGCAGTCTCTACTCTCTACAAACCCTGGTCTCACCGACTCGCCCACCGCCTGGAATATCGCACAGCTATATATTTTTAAATCAAACGCTTAAGGAAGATCCGCAGTCCTTACAGCGCATCTGCAGAGGAGTTTTTCTGATCATTTGCGTAGTGAAGACACAAACTAAATGCCGGTGGGTGTTTTAAACGTGATATTAACGAGGAAAATAGCGCAGCTTATTAGAGGCCACGTCGCGAGCATCGATCTCAGCCTGCTGGGTGTTGAAGGAGAGCGATGCTGAGACGATCTGAAACATAACACAGCTTTCATACAAACTCCACAGCGTCTTGACGTTTATGTGTCCGTGTGCATGTTCATGCATGCGCGAGACAGGATCTAACAAGAAATCATGATGAGCAGCCTTGTATGCCTCTTGCGCTCGCTGTCATTAGTATAGCTCCACTTTAACCTGATGCAATGCGAGCAACAGCTGCAACGCAAATACTTTCAGCTCTAAAGTTTTAAAGGGCACGTGCGTCTACAATGTCTTCGTTTCTTAAATTCACCGTGCTCCCATCATGGAACTACCTGAGCAAAGGAGTCGGATCTCGCGTATCACTGCACGTTTCGCACGTGACCGTGCAGACGGCGTCATGTGCATCAGGAAAGTTTTTATTTGCGAAACGTACCCTTCATCTAATCAGCAACTAATAAACGATTCGCATTTATAGAGTGACATTAATTCTAATGCATGTTTCGTTTGACTTTGCCCGTTTCGCTTCGGCACCACGGACAGCCACGAGACTGCAGACAGCTTTTTAAAAAGCTCACGAGCTGAGCTTTCTTACAGCAAACACGTGCACTGGAGGGTTATGAGCAGCGAACATATGAGGAAACCTTTGCATGATTAAACATTATATTAGATATAACACAACATGCTGTTTCAAATAAATAAATAAAACTGATCATAGCTGCATGCATATCATTTTCACTGCAAGGTTAATCCTTTAAAATGTATAATATAAAAATGTCCCACAGACACAATTCAAGTAAAATACATGGAAATGATTGTCCTGCTATTCTGAATTAAATGTATACACTGAATGCACAATATGCACAATACATAAAAGTTTCTGACAAATACTCATTCTCTGTTTATTACACTGCATTTTAGTAATTTTCGACAGTAATAATTTCTTTAACAAAATACAAAGAATGATGCATTGCAAAGTGGTGGTCATAAGATTTTTACAAACGCATAACATGCCATTTCCTGTAATGAGGTTCGGAAGGAGGCTGATCATTCAGTCCTGCCAATCATTACGAGCTTTTATAAAGCAGCAGTCATTGCACCGTCCCAGCGACAATTCTTCCGGCATCCCTCCACCTCCCCATCTCCTCCTCTCTTTCTGTTATTCTCCCTCTATGTAGTACCACAATGGGTTGAACTCAGAGCTCAAGCAGAGTATCGGGTTTGAGCCTCCATTGAGGACAGCAAGCCAATGTCGCTTACCATTAACCATCAGTACTGGATGGGCAGGCGAACTCATGACATGTTTGTAAAATGTAGTTATAGCCTCGCTTCAAAACGGTTTTGTTTTCCAATGCTTTTACTTTTCACAACTATCTGTACTTAATATTGCTCAGAATAACCTTTGTTTGGATATGTTGAGATGTTCTCATTCTGTGAGCTCACCATTCTTGAAATCATTGTAACAGATCTTTGACTGACTGTGTTACATTTACATTTAGTAATTTAACAGACGCTTTTATCCAAAGCGACTTACGAATGAGGACAATGGAAGCAATCAAAATCAACAAAAGAGCAATGATTTTTAGAATAGAGTTAGAATAGAGAGTGCTAGAGTTAGAGGGTCAAATAAAGATGGAAGAGATGTGTTTTTAGCCGATGGCTAAGGACTCAGCTGCTCGGATTGAGTTGTTACAATATTCTTCATTTACTTGGTTTTAACAGTTACACTGTTGAAGCCAATGCTTTGAAATACTTATAATTAGTGTCTCACAATGCTAAGCAATGCACGTGTCATTATTTTCTAACGCACGCTTAAACATATTGTGCATCTGATCAAAATCTCCATATATTTTAATAACACATCCTTCTTACCAACACTGGCAACCTCTGTCCTTTGACACAAAGAAGGCTGGGAAATGCTGCATGTGTAGTATGCCAAGAAAATACGCCAACGGTCTTCATCTTTTGATAGTGTGCATTGGTGATGCTAACTGTTAACTGTCAGGCTGTGCATCTATGGGGGAGCAGACAGTGAGCAGTTTATGTAACAGTGATTAGAAGATCGGGATTTAGTAAACCACTGCACACATTAATGCTTCTCAGGCCGTCTGTTTTGCCTCTTGCTTTTCTTCCTTAACATTTAGTATTCTTAAGCATACATGAACGAGTTTTCAGTGTTTGTATAATTAGGTAAACTTAACAACTGACTTTAAAGCAGAAAGTAAATTGATTTATGAACACTTTTTTTTATCGCTCAAGTCTCAAGATGTTTCAGCTTGTTGAGGAAAAAAGTTAATTTCAGATTCCCAATTCTGAGTTATGAGTGTGTCACTACTTTTGGCCTGAATTTATGACAGAAACTGTCAGCCCACGCTTGAAATAGGCAGAGAAGGACGAATCTCAGATTCTTCACGCCTGTAAATGAAACGCTGGAAGAGGTGACATAATCAACACCTATGCGCTTCAGCTGTTCAAGACTGCCAGATCTGTCACTATTTTGGGAGAACCAGCAACCAGGCTTCCCGGTTTCTGAAGCGCGAGATACACTGAGACGCACGGTTAATCACATGACGGGTAGGAAAGCGTCAACAGGTACTCATAAGATTTGCCTTCTGCACCAGGTGTGAATGTCTTCAGTCAGGACACCAACACATGGAATTCATTCTGAGATGAGGCAGAGAAAGATGATAAAATATAGATGATAAAATATTGCTGCATCACTGTATATATATATATTTTAAGAGATATGGACAATGAAATTAAACCGAAAGGCTGACAGCCCCTTTATGATACACATTTGGCAATGAAAGTGATTCTGTAACTGTGATGAAACCGTATAACCATTATTATGAGCATTATCTAAAGAAAAGAAAGTCATGGTGGAAAATGTGAGGAGTTTCAGTGCTGAAATGCTTTGCGATCCCAACCTCAGAGATAATGCTGGTGTGGAGCTCTCCATGGTTCTGAATGCTGAGTACTGGATACACTGTCCCCGACCGTATGACTGTCGCTTTCTGTTGGTTCAGGGGATGACAGGGTCTACAGCAAGCTGTCACACTAGAGTGGCTCATCTCAGCATGGGCCTGTCTCATCAGCCTCCAGTGGTTCGGAGAGTACCTCTAGACACGCCATTGCAATGCAAAGCCAAGCTTGTACTAGAGACAGACAATTTGAGAGCTATTTCAGTCTAGTCTGAGGGCCGGCCACTGTCAAGTCAGGCACAGCTATCATGCAGTAGATAACAAAGAAGAAAACATGTGTTGTCAAGTCCTGTCATAAATTAGGATTTTAACAATGTGTATTTGCATGAAATCGAAACCTAGTGGGATGCCTCCATTGGCACTCTCCTTATTTTGTGGAATTGCCTTCTCGGCAAACCATTGCATCCAGCTCAGAAATACATTTTAAATGATGGACGAAGTGAGAGTGTTGTGTATTTTATGTTTATTGCAGTATTGTGTTTTTAGCTTACCAACATGTCAACTAATAGTGTTTTCTAATTGTACTTGGATGTTGAAAATTCCAAGTTCTCAGTAGGAACTTTTAACTGAATGCCCCTCAAATTCGGGGTTGCGTTCCACTTCGATTTTATACACACACTTGCAAAATTCCCTGAGCACTGCTGCCGCTGCCATTTAGAAGTGCCTTCCACTTCGTGAAGTGGATGAGGGAAGTTTATTTGCAGACCCTTGACCCCTTTTGACCGAAGGAGAGAGTCTACTTTCAGGCCGCTCCATATACCACAATGCAGCACGATTGTGACGTCATGGCAGATTGCATTTAATTTACCCCCACCCCAAACAACTCTATGATATTAATTATTATTATTATTATTTTTAAATATATAGAGTAGTCCAAGCATACCTATATACATAGAATGCTGCATCAAACAAGTACATAAGGAAAAACAAATGTACATAATAAATCAACTCCATCGTGGATTCCAAGTGATCAAGGGCTAGGGCTTAGGACATTCCACTTCAGCCCACTGCAAGGGTTCCACAAGTAGTGGGCACTCGTGCAGCGTAATCAGTGCCGAGACGGAGGGAAGATAGCAAGTGAAGGGCATAAAAAAAACCTTGGAGGAACCGCTACAACCCCGACTTCAGAATCCAAAATGTATGCTCAGTGCATCAACCAGATGTGCCGCAAACGTCCTGAAAAGTGAAGACACAACATTTCAATCGCACTCTGGTGGCTGGCTGCGGTATAGGTCA